ATTTAATAGGTATTATAATTATATAATAGTTATACAATATTATTATTTATAGTTATACAAGCAATATGTTATGATACTTCGTTTTTATGTTGGTTTAAAAACAAATAGGTTCATTCAATTACATTTTAAACACAATTTTTAAAAAAATCCCGCAAAACAACCTATAAAAACACAATATTTTAATATTTTCAAACTTTTTAATTTATTTATAACCCAGACAACAAAATTAGGTTAATCTAACTTGATTTTAACATTATTAAATTAACGACAAAATTATTATAATATTAATTTCAGAATACCAGAAAATTATTAAATGTTATCATAACATTATTAGCAAATTTTTTGGCCAACTTTTTCAAGTTCTTTAAACATTATACAATAACATTGAAGTAATGTTAAAAGTAACGTTTTAATAATATTTGAAATGTATTATTATGAAAACATTATTTCTTAGTTACAGCTTAGGTATATTATAATATTATAATCACCACGTCAAAATATTATACTAAAAATTTCAAAATATTTTATAACAAAATTATAGTTGAGTTTTCAAAAATATATATTTTTTCGTATTTTCAAAATACTATATATATATTATTGGAATTAAATTGAATAAAATAGTCTCTTGCATTTATTGAATTAAAAATATAATACTAAAAGATTGAAAACATAATAATAATTAATAAATTATGTTAAAATATAAATAGTAGTAATTATGAATCACATTATTACTATTATTACTGATCTTACTAAGTAATATATAACATATCTCACTCTACTGCAGTGCACCTTGGTCTGCCGAGCATCCATAATAATTGACAACTTGGTGCTAGATACTATATAAATACAAACTTTATTTATTTTTTACTTATACTTTATCAAAGATTTTGTTTATTTCATTTATAAGAAAAGGATACATATATTATATTATCATTATAAAATTAGGTTAATCTAACTTGATTTTAACATTATTAAATTAACGACAAAATTATTATAATATTAATTTCAGAATACCAGAAAATTATTAAATGTTATCATAACATTATTAGCAAATTTTTTGGCCAACTTTTTCAAGTTCTTTAAACATTATACAATAACATTGAAGTAATGTTAAAAGTAACGTTTTAATAATATTTGAAATGTATTATTATGAAAACATTATTTCTTAGTTACAGCTTAGGTATATTATAATATTATAATCACCACGTCAAAATATTATACTAAAAATTTCAAAATATTTTATAACAAAATTATAGTTGAGTTTTCAAAAATATATATTTTTTCGTATTTTCAAAATACTATATATATATTATTGGAATTAAATTGAATAAAATAGTCTCTTGCATTTATTGAATTAAAAATATAATACTAAAAGATTGAAAACATAATAAATAATTTAATAAAATTATGTTAAAATATAAAAAGTAGTAATTATGAATACACATTATTACTATTATTACTGATCTTACTAAGTAATATATAACATATCTCACTCTACTGCAGTGCACCTTGGTCTGCCGAGCATCCATAATAATTGACAACTTGGTGCTAGATACTATATAAATACAAACTTTATTTTATTTTTTTACTTATACTTTATCAAAGATTTTTTATTTTATTTCATTTATAAGAAAAGGATTACATATTATTATATTATCATTATAATAAGTGGGATATACGAGCGAAGTGAATAATACAGCAGTAATGTAATGTTTATCTGATTTATTTCACAAATATAATAACATCATGGGGATGATTAGTTAAAACATGATTGTTTTATACAAAAACGACTGAAAATTAACTGCACTTAAACTTAAACATTTTTAATTAAAAAAAAAATTGAATAAAATAATACATAAACAAATAACATAAGTTTTATTAATTTATGGTAGGTATTTCTGCACCAAAACAAAATTATACAAAAAATAGAAAAAAAAATAGTATCAACTTGATTATAATAGTAAATATAGTAAGTTTTTTCATTTATCTTTATTTTTTTAATCGGAAACGAGCATGAGATAGCCAGACTGAAATAGGTCCATCAATTTCTTTCTCAAGGGTCAGCTTATACTTGGAATTGGATCTTATAATATCTAAAACAAAAATGTTTTAAGTTTTCTTATTCATACATGTACATGTTTAATTAATTACCAATCAACAAACGATAGCTTAGTAATTTTGAGAATGGTTTTTTTTTCTTAAATCCAAGTAATGAATAGTTTAATAGGAGTTCGTCATGAAACATACGTGAACATATTCGACGTATACTATTCCCAATATTGTTAGTAATTAATAAAGACAACTTACACACCTAAATAAATAATAAATGTATATATAAATATTTAAAAGTAAAGTAAAATATTTAAAAACAATAAAAATAATAATACTTATAATATTACCAATACACTCCGATAGTCTTTATTAAGAATCAATAACTCAAATTCTTTCAAATCTTCTTCATTTTTAATTGGAAAAATCTTATCCATATCAAAATCCTGTTGTTCAGCTAATATAGATGAAGGTTCGAAGTTATTTCTCAAGTCTATGAGCTTTTCAATGTTTAAATTATTAGTTTGAACAACAGTTTCAATGCCATCAATGCGATACCTTATTTGTGTAAGTGTTTTTATCAAGTAACTTTTTAAATCTGCAATTAAAAAGATAAATAATATCATAATTTTAATAGCTATAGTATCTATGAATGAATGAACAAATTAATTAAAACCTTTAAAATAAATAATATTATATTGTTTATTATAGGTACCTAATATTTCTTCAGCTGCAGTTTTTTCTTTGAAAAGACTCTTTTTAGCAATTGATAACTCATTGATCTTAGGAGAATAATAATGATCTTCAGCCATAACTTTTTCAACAGACCACGTTCCACTTGGTGAATTGAGTTGTTGTTGATTTGTAGTTTGATCATCATTAATATGTTTTATTTCATGATTATTTTTGCTATACTCTGTCTCAAGTTGTGATAGTTTTGAAGAAGAATAATAAGGACTTGTCAACAAAATGTCTTTATTAGGCTTAGCTACAACAAGTTATACAAATTTATAAAAATGCAATAGAAACATAACAATTTAAGCAATATGGATCAATAATTCTCCACATCTATATATTTTGAAGTATTTTTGTTAACTACATATGAATTTCTTCAATGTTGATGTTATAGTTTGTTAATTTAAAATTGAAATCAAGAATTCTATTATTTACAAAATCACTTATTTATATTTTTAAGAAAAAGGATGGCTTAAGAAAAGAGAAAAGAGTATTTAGAAAAATAAATAGGTACTTAAATATAAAATATGAATAATACGATACAAGAATATCTAGTAAGGTCTCTCAATATGAATGTATTTATTTTTTTATTTTTAATTTTCATACTGAATCTCCATAATTTATAAAATATACTCTAAAAAATTGTAAAATTAAGAAATATGTTCTAAAATTTATAAATCACTAAATAATATGCAAAAATATTGAACTTTGATATGTTTTTCGTAGTGTCTTGGAATGAATTTCTAGCTCACTTAGTAATAAATCTAATGGTAATAAAAAACCTTGCAAATGCAATAACTACCGATCCCTACTTATCGCCAATAAAAAAAAATTATCTATTATGTTAATATGTTTTCAACTTGTTGTCACTTAGTTATAAATTGTTATCGAATACTGCATTTTATTGTGTAATTGGACCTAGGTCCTTAATATATTATATAAATAAAAAAAATTAAAAATAAAAATATATTTTCAACATATTTACTTTGCTGAAATACACCATTATTTCCACATTTCATGGTCCATGGGGGATCTTTGTCTGAGTCATATTCATTATCGTTGCATTCAGGCATTAAGTCATCAAGCAAGAAGTCATCAAATAATAAATTATCTTCTGTAGATTTGTTGGGATTATTATTAGATGAATGGTTTGATTCTGAAAGTTCTAAAAATGTATGGAATTTTATTGTTCCAAATTAATTAAAAATTTATTTTTGTGTACCTAAGTGTGTGTTAAGTGTTACCTAATATGTAATATATATTTATTTTTAATTAATTTGTAATTTTAAAACCAAAAATTAAAAAAGCCATGACCTTACTTAAATTAATTTCAAATATAATAAAAATGTATTTATATAAAAATTATGTGTGTATACCAGAAATATAATCCTTAAAACGAGGACAACTAGTGGGCATTTCACGAGGAACAACTGCAGCATCTTCTGTAAGTTTTGTTAAAGATTTAACTTTTCTAGTTTGTAGTCTTTTATTTAAACAACCATCATCATCCTCTGTACTCTCAAGGTCAGATTTGAGAGTAGCTTTTTGAAGTTTTAATCTGGCTTGAGATAATGAACCTATTAAAGTAATATGTCACCTTAGAGTAAATTAATAAAAAATATAAATAGTAATTAAAATGTATACATACTATATGATTGATTTCCGAGTTTTCGAGCAGGCAAAAAGAAGAAATCGCTTTTATTTGGTTTGATTCGTTTTTCTATTGATTTTTTAACCATTTTGGAATTTTTGGGCCAAGCACATCGTCCTTTGAAAGCCCATGAGTCAGGAACTGCTTCTATGCTATTATCTTGAATAAAATTGATAATGATCCACCTTGACATCTAATAACCGCAAATGTAAAACTTGTGAATCTTTATACAGGTACATAATAATTAAACGAATAGGTACTAACAAAACAGCTTTTGGATTTATACTTGTACATAACTGTTAACAGTACAAATGTAGCATTTTAAGCATATTAAATATAAAATATATTAAGAACTGATATTTAAAATTACTATCTAATTGAAAAAATGTACAAGTGAATAATATACATTTGAATTAATAACATGCAAGTCATCTAACCTTATCTGTAGGTATCTTTATTAAGTAGGTATTGACGATTGGGTATATCACAGAAATTTACAAATTATTATGTCCTTTAATATAGGTAGTATAATTGGACAATAGGTATATCATTAATGATGAAACTATTAAATAGACGAATGTAAAATGGGCATAGCCACTAACTGATTTTCATTTTTTAAAATCATAACTTTTTTACTAATGTCAGACATTTTCCAACTTCTTATATTATCTGAGAGATTTTCAACTAAAAATATATCTAATTTAGAAGAATCAATTGGTTCACTGAAGAATGGCAAAACTGACTTAAAATATTTTCCCAAAATTAATATTTCACCGTCATTGGCTATAATATTAAGGCATTTTACAACTTTCTTGTCTTTTGTTAAAATAAAACAATCATTTTCTTTTTTAATTTTAATTTTTATACTTTGGAATGATAAGTTATAGTATTGAAGTCCTCTTACATTTTCAATTAATGGACCATTTGTATGAATTTTTTGAAGGACAGGGTTTTCAGCAAAAATTTGTTTTGAAGTATTAGTATCTTTTATATTAATATTATCATTTGCATTAGAATACTTTTCAAAATACCGGTTAACAATTTGCTGTAAAGGCATTTCATGATTTCTAATCAATGATTTTAATTCTTTCATATAATTTTCAAATACAAAACAACTACAACTATCTAGAGGGCCATACTGATCATAATCATCACATATATGAAGGAGGCCATGGATATTATGTGATATTAAATGATTTCCATAAATTAGTTGGAATTTATGTACAAAATAATCTAATAATTTACGAGCATATCCAATTAAATATTTATAATCAGGACTTAGTAGTATTATCATTGAGATACTTAATATCATAAAATGATTATAACATTCTTCATTTTGAACTGTTTTCAGTACAATAGGTCCTAAATATAACAAAAACATACGATATTCGGTAGCTTTCCAGCGCATAATTTCCTGTATACCCCTTATTTTTCGTGCAAAATCAGATGGTAAACAGGTATTTAAAGACAAAAGCAAATTTGATAATTCGTCCATTTTCTTGGCACGGATTCGAACTGTTAGAGGACCTTTATTAATCCACAGAAGTAACAATTTCTTCATAACCCCAAGACAAACCAGGTGCATATAGTCCAAAGGAAATGATTTTACAACATCGAAATTGGGCAGTTCTATTAAATTTGACTTGGATTCAGAAGAAATATGATAATCTTCATCTAATCCGGATAAATAATCTTCATGAGTTCTTACCATAGATTTGATGCATGAATAAGGAAAACAAACTCTATTATTTGTATATTCACCTTCTATACAACATCTTGTACAAGATGAAAAACCCGAATGACCCTTAATTTTTAAAATAAAAGATTTTGCTGGAGTGTCACAGCAAATTCTATTTATGGAAACTTCTAAATGAACATTATTTAAATTAATTCCATTATTAATAAGATTAACTGCTTCATTTACAAAATCTAATAGAAACTCATTACTGTCTTTGGGTTTTTCAAAACCATAATATATTCCCACAGGAAAAACTTTTTTAGGTAAAGGGAGATGAGTAATAATATAAGCCATAATAGGCCAAAGTTGTCCTCCACTACTTTTTGATATGGGTAATCCATCTATACCAATTGCCAATTTAATTGATTTTAAATCTGATGACGCATATCTTAATATACCTTTTTCTAAACCAAAGTGAAAGTATGATCCTGGTTTTACAGATTGAATATTAAATGATGTCTGTTTAGGTGTGTCTAAAAGTGTTCTGCAATCAACTGGAAAGTGACTAAAACATGTATGTTTTTTTAAACCTTTTAATAATCCACTAACAGCATTCTGTGGTATATTAAATGTTGTGGCCCAGTTAGACAAAAAGTCCAAGATTATAAGATCAGGAGTAAGATTATTTAGACGACTATTATGAATATTATTTTGTTCAGAAACTGTTTTATCTAATGTTGGAATCTCACTAAAAATAGTATCTTGTGGTAATATTATATTTGCCAAATCAGCTTTCACTGTTGATGTTGAACTGAAGTTAGTTGATGATACGTCATTATTAATTGATTGATGAGATACATTAGATTTAATTTCACTTTTATTATACATTTCATTTTCAGCATTTAGTACTTCACAATTATTAGTTTCATACAAATTACTTTCAATTATTATGTCAATCTCATTCTTAATTTTTCTACGTTTTGTACGTGCACTTTGAATCATTTTTAATAAAATATCTTTTACCTTTCGCTAATAATATGATTCTAATAATATTATAATAAATAGGTACCTACCTAAACTTGTGTTGATATTATAATATATTGTTGTGAAAAATAACTTACTGCAGCTTTGTAGGTATTCGTCAACTCGTAACAAAACAAAACAAAACAACCGATCCAGCAGCGAACGTACATGCGAATTGTGAGTACCTAAAGTTTGTCACGTGCAGGTAGTATGGTGATGGAACACAAGTAACGGCTAACCTTAAAAACCGCCACAGAGATATATAAAATATATATTCACACGGAGAAGCGCTGAATAAAAAATGTTATCGACGGGTTATTATCACACGACACACACGAGTACACGACGCACAAATGCACAATACGACAACGAAAGCAGGAAGACGCGGGTCGCGTTTTAACTAATTAAACACACAAGGTGACACAGAAAAAAACAGCACGTAATAAGTATGTTAATTGTTAACTGTGGTGATGAGTGATGACTATCAGTCCAGTTTAACTTTTGTTTAAAGCACTCCCCGCACGGACCGCTTCGATCGATCTATGATAAGCGCTTTGACGGGTATTGATCTCGGTTCCTGGAGTCCGTCTAGAACGTTCGATGACCAATACGCTGTCACGCGGATGCGGATTTTATACTATATACACTCAACCGCAATAATTTCAAATAACAATTTATTACAACGGAAAACGACGCCACCTAGTGGATAATTTGCAAATTAGTTGGTAGCAACTAGCAGCAGTTTCGTACTCAATACACGCAAATTGGATTAAATATCGCTATATATTAAGTGTTAAAATAATTAAAAATATAATGTATTTTAAATTGTATGGATGCTCTGATTAAATCATCGTCTTAAAAAAATGATTACACGCATAATATATTTAGTCTAGTTTTATTTAAATGTCCGTCACAATAGCATGTTGTATTATCCTAGACAGTAGACAGTACACTGTAAATTATATGAGTGTATAACAGTGACGTGTCGAAGGTATTATTTTGGAGCAATTGCTCCTTCAAAATTGTTGGTTGGTGGGTGTGCTTCATGCCACAAAATACATACCTACCTAGTGTAACGTGCCAACCACTTCAACTCAGTTTTGATTGTATTTTGAATAAAATAACAAGTTGACGGTATAATGATAGTTTATTTGTATTTATTTAACACGTAAAATAGACTAAGTCTAAATAATTAATTTATAATAATGTGGTAAACAAGATGTGACTTAGTATCGACTTGGTGGCTGCTCTGCTGGTGCCGTCTGCTCGGATGGTATTCGTCTGATGGACACTTGTCCGTCGACGTAATTCGTCGGTATTCCTATAATAGATCCCTCCTATGGCATTTTTAGTATAAAAATGGTACACTCGCCGCATCTGCCTGAGGTCATTTCTGACGTCTTTTACGAAATTATGTTAATTACGGATTATATGTTTCCAAAGTTATCTATTTGTACTGTTTACGGCTTTTTCGTCTTTCCTAGAATATGGAAATTGCGCGCGTATACCTATCACGTGTTCGCGCTGTACCATTAATTAGTTCTTATCGATGTGGCCGCTCGGATGCTGATATTATTATACTATTACCGTGGTTACGCGCTCCCTGTAGCATTTATGTCTATTATTGAATATAATATATATATTATAATCGTATTTTACCTAATACAATATAATATAATATATTATTTAATATATTATTACTATTATTAATATATACGTACTCACAGCTCGTTACACTAGGTATATAGTAGAAATATATCATATCCGACTATACAAATCGTTACAAATGAAGGCAAATTTTGTAAAATTTTTAATTTAAACTTTTTTGCTACGTTGGAAATGCCGTTACAAACATCGAGGGGGGTGGGTACCTTGTATACATTTTTGCTCCTCACCAAAAAAGAGTTCAACAGGCCACTGGTGTATAATACTATATAATCTAAGACTGTGACTGTGAGCTAATTGTAAAATCATAAAAGATTAATGATAATACATAACTATACTACATAATTGAAGCAAAATAAAAATGATTTTATTAAAATATATTGTCTTAAAAATATAACAACTGTGAAACGTTCTTATAACATCCAGAATTAAATGTTATAATAAATTATTTGTTTATTGTTCAGGAAATATTTTTTTGAAGTTATAATCAAAATATTGTAAATTTAACAAACTCAAAACATACAAAGAATATTTGTAGAATAATATTATATTAAGTTAATAAATTTATGTTATTATAATATTCTTATGTAGTTTTAATTTAAATATTATAAAAAAACCATAATGAGCACGTTTAAGTAATATTTTTGTTTTAATATTATTTATTTAAATATTAAATAATGTCATAATAACATAAAAATTGAAATATTCACAATTTAATCAAGTATTAAAGTTATAATAACATTTATGTTACGAAATTGTTGTCTGGGATAGTACCGTTTGATAACCTAAGTTCTATGTCCATTTTTTTTTCAAAAAATCGTTTTTTTTTGCATACATTTTGCGAAGACAATATTGAATTGTTCTAAATTTTTAAATGTATTATATATTATGTGTTAAATAAATATATTATCATTTAATTGATATTAACTTTATTCTGTAATTATTCTTGGTTATTTTTAATAAATTATTATTGCACCATCGTTTTTAATAGGTTAGAATACGTAAGTACAAAAAAAATAACAAAAATGGTCCTCCACGCGGCATTATAGTAGTGTTGCGCGCATGCATATAAACGTAAAATTGAAAACTTTGGAAGGCCATAACTTCGAAACTAAGTGAGAGCGACAAATTCTGATTGCACCATCGTTCTTAAAAAGTTTATTACATAAGTGTCGATAAAAAAATTCAAAATAGAGAGGGGAGCTAAACTGCAATTGTTCCCCGAGAGAATCAAGTCCACCACGATGTAAAAGTACAAGAAGCATGATAACAAAATAAGAAGAATTGTGGAAAATTGATCTGAAATAACACCATTTTAATATTTAAGAGGTTTATCTTACAATATTTATGGAACAATTGCAGTTCAAAATGTCTAATGTTAATTATAAAATTAAAGATTTTTATTAATTTCTAACTGAAACATAATTTTTAAGTTTAACATTATATATGTTTAATACTTAGGTATAATTTATATTTATAATATATATTTTATGTAGGTATATAATAGAAAATAAAATACGAAAGTGTCATCAATTGGTATATTTTTCATTAAAATTGTTCATGTTTTCTTTTTATATAGATCATACTGTTATTGTGCCTGCTGAACCATGCGCTGGTATGTGTTGAGTATAAATAATAAAAAAATAAAAATAAAAATGTATAGAATAGCACAAATTACAAATCGTTCTGTAATGTATATTTTTATCTGACCATACAAAGTGTCTGCGTTATAGATTATAAACAATATACTGTAGTACTGTACTACTGTACCCAGGTACAAAATTACCGTTTACCATTTATTATTTGTTTTTACTTTATGTAGGTATTTTAAAGTCGGAATATAATAAATAACTATGTGTCATTAATTAAAAATAGCCGATACCTAGGTATATTTAGAAAATATAATGTACTATACTAAGATAATACAAGTTAAGCTAATATTCGAAAAATAATTGTATTTATCAGGTATTCAGGACAGTTAACTGTGAAAATAAGAATTTTAAGTTCAAAAGTTACCCAGTATATAAAACAGTAGTATGTAACTGTTTATTTAACCTTAATAATAAGTACTAATTAATGATATGGTCATTAACATTTTTTTCTCAGTAATCACTTATCAACCGACATTGGTGTACTTTTTTTGAAAAATAGATGATCTATCAAAATATAGATGACATATTGTAATTAATAAATAAATAAAAAGACAATAAATTACTTAAAATATTTTGATTATATTATGAATTAGTAAAGAAAAAATTACGTATGTAAAAAGTTTTTACTTATATTATAATAGAATAGAACAAACAAGGTATTTACTTGGATGTATATCAAATATCATGTACATTCAATATTTAAAATAAAGACAAATTGATTGATATAGGTACATATAATATTATTTACAATTAATATTAAAGTGTCAATATAGATGATACATTTACAACATTTTTTATCGTTATTTAAAAAATATACAGCATATACACGTGTAAAATATTATCAACTATCTATAAACAATGATAATATAGTATAAAGAAAAATTATTGTTTACAATCTATGTTGACTTTTTTCAAAACTGGAAGACTGTGTTTGTGCCAAAATTGATAAACACAGTGCTTCCACAAAAAAATTCCTCTTACCTACCCGGTGAGTTTTAATGACTAATAAACGATATTTCTGATAAACGACGACTGCAGTATTTCCGGACAAATGCACTCGTTGCAAAAAATATTAACGCAGGGCGAGTCCTTCTCCTGCAGCAGATCGTCCCACCACTTCTATTATAATATTGTATTGTATATTATGTGTAATATGTTTGTATAATGTTGTGCACACTCGAAGCGAGTCCAAAGTCGTAGAATTATCGTTTGGGTGCTCGACTCGTACTCGTAGAAATCGACTTTTCCTCTCCATGCACTCACATCCACCTCCAGCAGCAGCAGCAGTTGAACTCGATCACGTGCCTTCGTTCACAGGAAGCTGGTGATTATGGACTAGAGGCCAAACAGCGACGATATCTGATAGTTGCGGTACACAATGCCACCGTCGTCCACCAGCACGGGGTAAATCTTGAGGGCCAGGAACATCGTAACGGTCAGATAGTGATAGTGATGACCACGTGGTTAGGTATGGACCGGGTGTTGGCCAAGAACAGTTTGCAGATGATGGTGGACAGCAGCCAGCCAAGTCCGATTATGTGCGCGACCGACAACCCGCCGACGGCACCCACGCACAGCCACCCATAATCGGTTACGTCGTACAAGGCGCACCTGTCCACGACAACTTGTATGCGTGGACGACCACGTGCATCTCGGCGAACG